AGACCACGAGGCTATCTGTTAGATAATGGGTATTTAATTTTGCACCATTTCTCTGCAGTTTATTGCATTAGTTTTGGTCCTTTAGTGTATTGTTGGGGAGCAGGATGCGGTGTGGTGTATGTGTGTGTGTGTGGGGGGGGTGGGGGGTTGTTGATTGAGCCATCTGGTGTTGCAACTGATTGTAGGAAGGATGTGCTTCTGTTAGCTCATACATGTACATATAGACAGGATCATGCAAGAATGGTCAGCAGGATCTTCTTGTATAGATCAGATTTGTACTATTTTGTAGATTGTCACTGTCCCTACTAATCTTACATACTTAGGGAATCGTTAATTTCTCTTTATTGCACATTCATAAGTAGTAAATTGCACTCGTTAATTTCTGAAATTATGGTACCAAACATGTGCAATATCTAGTCGTCATGATGAGTAATATGAAGTTGTGAATTCTGTTTAACCTAGTACACTCAATGAGGCACAAAGGGTAGTACACAAAAAACATTGAGCTTGTTACATGCTTGTGATTACATAAATAAATTAAAGTGGCACTAAAATTTTGCTTGTATCTGCTGATCATGACGAGTTGTTGCATGTTTTTTATCACCGCGCCCTCAGCTTGTTGTGGCTTCTGGATCTTTGTTAGCATTACAAGTTTATTTCCTCATCTTTCTTTGCGGCTTCACTGGAGAGCCTACAAAACAATATTAGTTCTCAGAATCTATTTGTGTATGGTAGTTGCAGTTGATGATGTACATGATTTAGTATTGTGAAATTTAGGTGGATTCACTCGTATTTTGTACAAGTCCATGGAAAAATAGTTTTGTCCTTAACGAGAAATTAATTATTGACGTTTATATTACCTAAGTTATGCGAACATTAGTTTCGAGTGTAATACTTCTGCTCCGATCTCAATTACATCTTATTCTTTGCTTGCATTTAGTAATAGATGATGACATGTCAATATGATAGAGTTGAATGATATTAAAGAATCAGTTTGTGAGTTTATAGCCATTCCTAGCCACCCCTGTCCCCTGCACCACATGAAAATTGCATTTGGTATAATTGCATTAGCAACAAGTACAATTTGCACTATGTGAAATCTGCAATTCCCATATCTGTGTTTTGTAATTTATTAGCAATTGGAATATAGGAAATGCATAATATATAAGTGGTAGTGGTGTGAGGTTGCAGAATGACTTCTAGAAATTTGCCCAGAAAATTGTATTTGCGCGCGTGCGTGTGTGTGAGATCTCATGCTCTCTGTTTTGCACTATGTAATCTCATGGATCTGCTAATTTTGGCCGACGTAGGTGATCTAGGAATTAGTTTACCAGGGAACTTGATTCAATAGATTGGTGTACTAATCTTGGTTGATGAGGTATGAATCTAACTTCTAGTAGTGCTTCTTGAAAAGTCCTTGTAGAGATTGGAATAAGTGTGAGTGGTGTGAGGCTATATTCCTAGTTACAATAGGAATATAGCCAATGCATAACCGGTATAAGTGTGAGTGGTGTGAAACTACTGTTGTTACTATTCTCATTTGTGTCATTGTAACTCATCTGTGATAGAACATAGGATTTGGAAATGCATACTGGTTGGTGTGGTACATAAACTGTAGGGCTTCTTGCCATTTGTTGACCCCTTCTTGTGTTGTCAGGTCAAAATTTTGTAGCGAGTTCCCATCCATGTTGTCAGATGTAACCTGAAAACAAAACAGATGCATAAGATATATTGTTTTGTTTGCCTGAAATAGTTAGCAATCTGTGATTGTCTTTGATCCCCCCTCTCTCTGTGATTGTGCTAGTATGAAGGAAAAATATTGTAAATTGTCCTTGCATAGAAATAAATTGTCTCTTGTAATCTATGATCTGTGTTTGTTTTAGATGAAGGATGATGGAGGTAGGACAAGATGTGGGGGCTGTCGGATCTGTGATTGTGCTAGTATGAAGGAAAAAGATTGTAAATTGTCTTTGCATAGAAATAAATTGTCTCTCGTAATCTGTGATCTGTCATATGTGATCTATGTTTGTGTTAGATGAAGGATGGTGGAGGTAGGACAAGATGTGGGTGCTGTCGGATCTGTGATTGTGCTAGTATGAAGGAAAAAGATTGCATAGAAATAAATTATGTCTTGTAATCTATGATCTGTCCTATGTGATCTATGTAAACAGGTTCTTACTTTTGGTCTTGTTCTATTTCTCTAAACAGGTTGATTCCAATGCATCCTAATTTGGTTGTGCCTAGGTCTGGGACTATGTCAGTTTGTTAGAGGTAAGCTCTTTGGATTATCTTTCTACACTGTGACAATGAACTTGTTGTTTTCTCCAGTTTCAGCAAAAAATGTTAGGCTAATCACTACTACACTAGTTTCTTAATGGGAAAAACTGTTAGGCTGCTGGGCCAACGGCAAGAAGGCACAACCTCCAAAAAGTTTAGGTGGTTCGATCATTGTCATGGGTTTAGTGCTGAATTGTGGTGTTAGTGTGGTGGTCATTTGTGTATGTTTTTTTCTGGTGCGTCTCAATTGTTTATTAGGATGCATCGTAGTGAGCCCCATCTTTGTTGTGGTTTTATGTGGCCATGTGGATGGTAGGTTGAGAGAAGCTATGCTGAGATATTGTTAGGGGTTTACTGTAGACAATTAGGGCAACATTTATGTTTGCAGATGCTTTGAAAATGCCCATTTCTCAGTTAATGCTCCTGTTTTCCTAGCCCCATAAGCATCTCACCTGCTGTTTTCCTGGAGGTTCTCCAGTACTAATTTAGTACTTTGTGCCTAGAAATTGGTCTTCGACGAGTCATCCTCTTGATTTTCAAACTAATGGGTTAAATTCCTTTGCACAGATCGTTTGAGATCAACAAAATAGGGATCTAACACAAGGAAGGGTTGGATCTAGTGTGTACTGACCTTGGATGATGTAGAGGTGAGTCCTGCCTCCTTGGATCTAGTGATCCTCCCCCCTCCCCACCCCTTTTTTCCTGCTCTGATCTGGGGTTTTCACCCTTTTTTGCCCTGGTGTGCGTGAGCTCCTCCTCAAGAACAGATCGATGGATCTGTTTGGTTTGCTTCTTTATCAAGTAGGTCATATATAGGACACACATTTGTTTGATGGGCTGATGTGCCTTGTAGTTGTTAACATGGGTCATTTTGTCGTTAGGTTTGTGGGCTACAACAGAGTACAATAACAAGTACAACAGATCTGCTCTATTTTTGGCCCTTGTTTCACAAAGAATACAAGTACAAGTACAACTACAAGAAGATTTGTGTGCTACTTCTTTGAAAAACACATGTTTTTTTCCTTGCAATATTTTCGTGTGCTACTCATGGAAAAAACACATGGATTTCCTTTTGTCTGTTGTGACTCTTTTTGTGTGCTAGGCTGCCAAAATTCGTGTGCTACCTTGTTATAAAATACATGAATTTTTTGGTTCCTGTAATCTGTGTGTTTTTTTTGGGACAAAACACACGTGTGCTAGTTCTCTCTAAAACACTCGAGTGTGAGGTAGACAGGCTCAAACAATAATCATAGTTAAGAACAAGTCATAATAGATAAGTCAAATTTATCTTAAGTTTGATCAAATTTATAGAGAAAGTTGTCAAACATTATGATACCAAATAGTTATACTATGAAAATATGTTTCATGATGAATCTATAATAATACTTAGAAACCTTTTAGAGAAGACATCTATGGTGTTTTTACTTTAAAAAAGACTCTGGTTGTTCCACTTTATAAAAATGGTTTGGTAGTTCTACTTTTGTAAAGTGAATATGATGAGAACTGTCAAGACAACCAGCCCAGATCGAGTGGAGGGAGGCAACAATGAGGTCATCATCACAGTCGGGTCTATTGGGTGCTCAGTCCTCAGTCGCCATCGTTGCCAGGAATGAAAATACTCAGGCGTTTGAAAGCTGTAATAAGCATCTTGGATAGACTTAAGTCTGCACTTTGTTCTGGCGTTAGTGCCAAAAACCTGAATGAACTCGAATGTTTGTTTGCTTTTTGAAATATAAAAGCAGGGTGACCTTTTGTCTAAAAAAAAGTGACTGATGATACTACTTTATAAACATGGTTGTGGTGGTTCCACTATCTACATAGGTGCTCAAGGCATCCTTCCTTACACCATGTGCTGCCCTACATGCGTATCACAGATGGCCATTCCTTGGAACTTGGAAGTGCAAGGAGCATATCTCGAGTGTAAATAGATACTCCAAGAATCTTGGAGAGTCAAAACATCTCAAGTTTGACCAAATTTATATAATAAGATAATAACATTTATGATACCAACTAAATATCATTAAATTTTTTATTAATTATATTTTCATAATATATTTATTTGATGTCATAAATCTTTGTAATTCTCATTATAATTTTAATCAAACTTGAGATGCTTGGACTCTCTAAAATTCTTGAAATGACTTATAATTTGGAATGGAGAGAGTACCACTTTATACAAAATGGTCATGGCTGTTCCACTTTATAAAAATGGTATAGTTTCAATTTTATAATGTGGTTGTGGTGGTTTTACTTTGTGCAGAGATGGTTACAGATTAATTTTATTTTATCAAAAAATAATCAATCAATCACATATAAACCAATTTCCAAGTAATGGCAAACGTGTATCGTGTATCGCAGTACAAGTATTAGAAACAACGGTGGATCGGAATATCACATATCGCTTCACAGGCATGCACCCTGTTCTCCCCAGTTCATCCTCGATAGCCCATCATGTGATTTCCACAAATAAACCATTAAGAGAAAGCAACCATGAATTGGCTGAAACCATCTGTATTATGGACTCCTTACTGGTACTCACATCACTATAAAACTAATAACGAGTGTCAACCAATCACAAAGATTGTCATCAACTTATCTGCAATCAGCACAGTGAAGGGGCTATTTGGTATCCACTATCCGATGAGCAATAAAGGCCTAGATCTGGCTCCAATATTGTAGTATGGTATAGGCAAGGAGAGAAGGAGGGCTGGACAGGGTTGGTTCTAAGGACCACGGGCTCTGAAGAAACACAAGCACCCGCCGGCCTGGCCTTCTGGTATCATACCACCGCCCTTGCTTGTGTCGAGGGCCTCCAAGAACCGCACCACCTCGTCCATGTCAGGACGCTTATCCGGGTTCGCGTCCCAGCACTTCCGCATGATGTTCGTCATTGGGCTTGGGCAGCAGCGAGGAATGTCAGGCCGCAGGTTCTGCACACACAAACAGGTGGAAACCATCAGGTGTAGTGAAGGTTTGGCACATGCATGCGCACACAAAGCATTATTGATCTGTTCTGCCCAATATGTTCAGTATGTGGACGATTATCAACAGTGAATCCAGAAAGTGAAAACAAACCTGATGAACAACGGCAGATGAGACGTCTGCAAAACTGAGGTCTGGATATGGCATGTCACAGCAGTATATTTCCCATAAGCATATGCCAAAACTGTAGACATCACACTTTCTATTGTATGGCTTGCCTTCAAGAACCTGCAGACACAAATAGAAAAAGAACAAATAATTACTCAAAGCACTTGCCACGATAACGAGAGTAATCGTTTTCGTACAAATCTTAAACAGTAGCGTAGTATACCTCTGGGGCCATGTAGCCAAGTGTCCCTGTCGCACCTGTCATATCCTTTGGATTCTGAGCCTCAACACGAGCAACACCAAAATCAGCAATTTTAAGGTTTCGCTGTGTGTCGAGCAGCATATTTTCAGTTTTTACGTCCCGATGTACAATCTTTCTTGAGTGTAGATAGCTCAATCTGCAAAAGGGACCAACAAGATAGTTACCACAAGATACAAGAAAAATACGCTATAGTGACCCAAGTTTTCTTTTAAAAAAAGTTTTTTATATATCTTGCTTACCCTCTAGCAAGATCCAGTGCTATCTGAACAACAACTTTGTATGCAAGCTTCCTTCGCCTGCTCTTTATTAAATATTGTTTTAGTGTTCCTCCAGCGAGATATTCAACCACAACACAACATGCTCTTAGCGGCAGCTCAGTGCGCCCACCACTGTTGGAACTATTGGCTGGAATCTTAAGGTCTGCAGTACCCATTGATGCACCAACGAACTGCAATAATAAAGAAAATAACAAGTAAACAAACTATGTAAGTGGACCACAAGAAAAAGGCTACTACTACAGAGTAAAGACAGCACCAAGACATGACAGTCCTGACTCCTGAATAAACATTGCACAGAAGATAAATGAGTGTGCAGCTTAGTGCTAAAACATAGTAAGCTGAAATGTTCACCTTTGTAACATTTGGATGGTTGAGCTCATGCCAGACAGCAACCTCCTGCTTAAAAGATGCTCGCAGTGTGGCAGTTTCAGCTTCTGATGCAAAGCCATCTTCACCCCAATCCAACAGTTTTACTATATATGTCATTAAAGAAAAAAGAATTAGCTAAACATATGAAGATCAAGGTGGTGCTGTTGATTATTTGGTAAAGCTTCGCAACATACTAGAAAAAGTACAAATTTCAATTTTATATTATGTCCACAGTTCAGGTAACTTCATCAGTACGATAACATGCTAGTGAGAACAGCTGTCTTAGATGATCTACAGGAATTAACCATCACAATTTCTGTGTAAAGGACCAGGACACTGAATAAGCTCATGACACCACAAATGCCCCAAAATCAGGCACCTGTTAAAAGTGAAGCTGTAATACCTAAGGAACTGAAGCTGTAATACATAAAAACTGAAGCTATAACAGGTTTCAGAATTACCAATCAAAAACTCAGACTACAAGAAAAAAAAATCTGAATCCACAAAGATGCAAATACTTCACAGTTCACACACAAACCACTGCAAAGAAGCTCTTTGCCATCTTTGCCACATAACGCATAATTATATACTGATCACTTGTGCAGTTGTGCTACAATCCGCCGTGTGTAGACATGAGAGCTCTATTATCCATGAACAACCATTGTTTCTGAACTCACACGGAAGGTGAAACAAGGCAGAGGCAACTCTTTGCTAGAAGCCAATCAGCCTGTTCGCTTGTTGGTTTCAGCCAGTCCAAACCAGTCAGTCAACAGTGTTTTTCTCAAAAAAAAATCAGCACCAGCCAGTCCAAACCAGCACCAGCACCAACAAGCGAACAGGCCCAATAACACAAGAGGACCAAGAACAACGAATATTCAGAACATATAGTAAGAGCTTGTTACTTGTGTATGTATGCCTCATTTTTTTATTTTAACCAGCTGATACTCAATGTGTCATTTGCCAAGCTAGCTTGTCCGGATATTATGAAAACGATTCACCTATCTACTGACGAAAACCAAGAAATCCTCTGCAACTGCCGAACAGCGTAATCTCAGTCTCAGAGGCACAAATAATCCACAGACGAGGAAACAGGGGTACCTGCGACGTCCTGCCCATCATACGTGCCGCGGTACACCGTGCCGTAGGTGCCCTGCGCGATGACGTAGCGAATCTCGAGCTTGGCGAGGTCGATCTCCCAGTCCTCCCTGGGCCCCTGGTTGTACGACCCCTTGTGCTTCTCCCAGGTCTTGGCCAGCTGCTTCTCCAGCTGGATGTCCAGGCTCTCGAGGTCGATCTTGTCGGCCCGCACGTAGGACTCGTTCTTCGCCGCCGCCGACGACGCGCCGCCGCCGCCGCTCGACGCCATCGCGGCCCGGGACCGGCTTTCGGCTTCCGGCTTCCAAGAAGTCAATTTCCCTCCCTTACCGGAGGCTTGCAGCCTCCGCGGCGGTTGCTACCACAGTTGACTCCTCCGCGCCGCCGGGGGCGGAGGCCAAGGTCGCCAATTCTTCTACAGAAACAGGAAGGAGGTGTAAAGAGGCGAGATTTCCGCGGAATTGAAGAAAGTGAGCCCCTAAAAGAAATCTTGGGACACGAACTGGGCACAAGCACTGCTCCAGAACAAAGCAAGCAAATCGCCGCGCAATGGGCGGACTGGAGCGAGGGAGAGAGAGAAAGATTCGGATTTGGATTCGGTTGCAGCTAGCTCCGAAAGGCGAAAAGAGCGAGCGATGCCGCACGAGCGAGCGAGGGCGTGCTTACCAGCGGGAGGAGGAATCGGTCGCCAGGTCGCGGTGGATCTGCAGCTCCAGCACCACTACACGGGAGGGGCGGCGGAGGCGCGGAGCAGGAGGACGGCGAGGATTGCGGAAGGTGAGGCGAATCCGAGGTGCCGCGACTCCGTGGCTGCGGGACGCGGTAGACGGCGAGGCGGGAGCCGGGACCAGGCTGCGGCGACAGCGACGGCGACGGCGAGGCGGGTTTGGGGCGCAGGAGGCAGGAGCAGAGCAGGTGGAAGAAGAGGAGTTTGCAGAAGTTTGGGCCGCGCGTGGTAGATGGATTGTCAGAGGAGTCGGAATCGCAGGCAATAATTACGAGAAGGATTAAACAACGTTTTCAACGTTGACACGGCTCGTCGTGGCACCTGTTGAATGAACAAAGGAATTTGGCTGGTTCGTTTGAAGAGCCTGTAATATTTTTTTTCTCGTAGTAAATCAGTTAAGGTCGACTTATCAGCCGACTTTAATACTAACCGAATATGTCAGAATCACGATAAATAAACAACCCCCGTGTCCGGGCTGGGTTTGAAACCGAAATTAAGCTTCTTTTTCTGAAATTCAGATCTACGGAGTTATCCATTAATCCTACCATATATTTTTTATAAAATGAACATATTTAGATATACAAATATTGGTATACTTCTTTCATAAATTTAGTCAAACTTGAGATTTGTTGGCTCCTCGAAATACAAGATGAGTACTTATTTTGGAATGGAAGGGGTATGTTTATCGTCAAAAATTGAGAAGTTTTTTTGTTTTACTTTGCCAGCGCAACTCGTAGTTAGACTGTCTCCAACAGTTTATGCAAACGGCGACGCAAACCCAGAATGGGTCATGCACAGTGTTTTAGCGGTAGAAAACCGACTCCAACAGAAGACTCAAATACAGCATGCATTTTAGGTACGAGGCCATCTGGGACGTTTATTTGCGTCGTCTTTCTCCAAGACGCAAAGTCTCCAGGCGGGACCACGGCGGGGCGGGGCCGGCTCGGCGAGGCGAGCTCGGCGTGGGAGCACCTCCGGAGCCATCGGCCTTGGTTGCCTCGCCAGATCTGGGACCGCTCCCTCGCCGTGGGAGCACCTCTGGAGCGCGGCGAGGCGGGTCCGAAGACGACAATGGCGGCGAGGCGAGGAGGGAGGCGGGCGGCGCTCAACGGATCTCGTAGGGAGGGAGCTCGCCGGCGGGGAGGGAGGCGGGCGGAGCTCGGCGGGGAGGGAGGCCAAGGCGCTCGACCGGCATGGATTCGACCGCCTGCTCGTTGGATCTGCTCGCCGCACGGAGCTTGAGGTAGAGAGGATAGAGGCGCGCTGGAACCATCGGAGGGAGCGTCGGCCGGGCTCCTAGGGTTGCCGCGCCGCCGGAGGGAGAGAGGGTCGTCGTGGGAGGAGGAGCATGCGCCGCTCGCTGCGCCTGCCGTTGCCCACGCTCGCTCGCGTGCGCCGCCGTTGCCGCCCCGCTCGTCGCCCGCCGCCTCCATCCCAGAGAGAGGTGAGAGAGAGAGAAAGAGAGTTGAGAGAGGTGTGTGATTTGGCTGCTCGGCTGTTGGAGAATACGAGATTTGGGTATGTGACCCTTTGACTGTAGGTGACTTATACTATTGAATGGGTATCGCGTTTGGGTTGTTTCTGTTGGAGACAGTCTTATTAAACCACTTTTAGGGCCTAGATGAGTTAAGGCTGGTTAGACAACTAGCTGAAGATTTAAATAAAAATTAGCCCACCTAACAAGTAGCTCTTGGTATCAAGGGATCTTCGTCATAAATGTTAATAATATATTCTCTATAAATATAGTCAAACTTAAAGTTTGACTCAACCTAAATCTAGATTTACATCTTTAAAGACAGAGGTAGTATCAGTTAGTTTGAGATAGCTAGTAAGATAGTACTCCGCCCTCCGTTCTCATAAATTATAAGATATTTTATATTTTATAGATATATTATTTTTACTATGTATTTAGGTACAGTGTATATCTAAGTATATAGCAAAAGTTATGAATCTAGAAAAGCTAAAACATCTTATAATTTGGAATGTAGGGGTAGTAGTTAGCGTTAGCCGAGAGCGTGCCAACCGATAGATATTAATAAATAGTTTCTCGGATTAAAATAGATCTAACTAATTGTTAGCTGAATACCTAACTAACAACTATTTCATTAGTTAAACCAAACTAGCTAATAGCAATTAATATTAGCTATGAACTATTAACTATTTAAGTATTAGTAGCTAATGGATGTAACAAGACCCTAAATTCTTATTAATTAATTTTTAGTAGCTAATTATTGGGTTGGTTGATACACCTCGTATCGTAAGAAACCTCATACACCCGTAGGCCCTAGAGGAGAATTTTTATATTTTAATATTTTTTATTCAATATTTTAATAATAACCATTCTATTTTTTTTTCAAATCTAACTCTTTTAATCGCGACAGTGAGCTGGCGTGACCAAATAACGCTGTCGCACCACATACATTGACGCGACAAGAAGTGCCACATTCGAAACGTTTCTGACATAGAAAACCTTGTCACGCTATTTCCGCTGGCGTGAAAGTATTGTTCTGTCGTACCACCGGAAGTGGCGTGACAAGGCTGAAACTTTAAAAAATTATAACTCTTTAATATGATGTCGGATGAAGATGAAATTTATATAAAAATTGTAGCTCTTGACGAGATCTACAACTTTCTAGTTTTGAGTTTTTTCATTTGAAAACATTCAGATGCTCAAAAATTAATATAAAATTTTAGGACCATAATAATTGCGTACTAGTATTTGTCGTATTAGAAAAATAATATCTCTTTTGTATGTTATCAAATGAAGATACTTTTTATATTAAAGTTGTAGCTAACTATGAGACCAACAACTTTTTAATTTTTTGGTCTTTCATTTGAGATAGTTAAAATACCAAAAAATAATACAAAAATTAATAGCATATTAGTCATGTTTCATAGCTTATCTTTTTAGAAAAATCATATATTTCTTATTTGAAGTCGCATAAAAATACTTTTTAAATTAAACTTGTAGATCTCATTAAAAACTACAACTTTGATATAAAATGTATCTACATTTGACATCATACAAAAACGATATTATTTTTCTAATGCGACAAACGCCGGTATGCAATTATTAAGCTGTTGAAATTTTATATTATTTTTTCGTGCATCTTAACGAGCTCAAATGTAAAAACTAAAAACTATAAAGTTGTAGATCTAATTGAGGGCTACAACTTTGATGTAAAAACTATCTTCATTTGACAACATAAAAAAAAGATATTATTTTTCTAATACAACAAGCACTAGTACACGATTAGTATGGTTCTGAAATTTTATATTATTTTTTTGAACATCTTAATATTCTCAAATGAAAAAACTCAAAACTATAAAGTTGTAGATCTCATCAAGAGCTATAATTTTCATATAAAGTTCATCTCCATCCAACGTCTTATTAAAGAGTTATGATTTTTCAAAGTTTCAGTCTTGTCACGACAGAACACGCCAGCGAGAGTGGCGTGACAAGGTTTTTCACATCGGAAACGTTGTTTAACGTGGCAGATGTTGTCGCTCCAATATATGTGGCGTGACAACGTTATTTCATCGCGAAAAGGGTCGGATACAAGCGATTATTATTAAAATATTAAATTAAAAAGATTTAAAAAAATCTCCTTCAAGTGGCATGTCGTAGTACTCCGTACGTCGCAGCGTGTAAGAATAATGGAATATAGAATAGAATTGAATAATTTATAACTGGTTGGGCAGCCATGCCCGGTCGTTGATTTGACTTTGGATCTGAGTCGAGACTCGAGAGGCGTCGACGCCACGCGTGCACGCACGTGCGGCGCAGAGTCAAACACTGCCCACGTGGCCACGAGAAGCCTAGTAGAAGTGTAGAACCTGACGTCCTGACCATAGCAGCAGCAGCAGGTTCGGTTCCCGCTTTACGTGGCGTTCCGGTCACGTTGACAGGCAGGCCAGCTCGTGCATGCGTTTTCCTGCTACACACAGGCCACAGAGGGAAGCCCTTCTTGTCGTTTCGTGAAGCATCAGCTTCTGCCGACTGCCGGTGCCGGCCGGGCATGGTCACGGCTCACGCGTGTGCAGTCGCTTTCGGATCGCTCCATGCCGTCAACTTCAACTCTGACGGACGCCGCCGCCCATCGGTCCATCCACTTGGTCCGTCGCGTCCGCGTGTCCAGGGGAGAACTTCAACTCTGACGGACGCCGCCCATCGGTCCATCCACTTGGTCCGTCGCGTCAACTTCAACTCTGACGTCCGCGTGTCCAGGGGAGAACCGCGTGCCAAGTCGCGCACGTGCAGCGTAAGCGTGTCGTTGCCGGAACCCCAGGGGAGAACAAAACTCAGTTCTCAAAGCTGACGAGAGCCAGCGCAGGCACCGGCGGCAGTCTTGGCCGATTCGAATATGCTGGCCGGCCGCTCCCGCTCATGCATGGCTGCTGCTGCGATCGAGAGCCAGCATCGAACCAGCAGTTGGCACGGTTTCGATGCTGTTTCGTTACGCGAGAAAAACAGTGTTAAGTTAGGTTGGTAATAAGGGCTGGTTTAGATTCTAAAAAATTTTGCGCGCATCAAATGCGGCGTC